ATTTTTCTTCGTCTGTCTGTCTGTCTATCTACCCACTTACATACATACATACCACACACAATAGATACACACAGTTCCAGAAGGGCTGCCTTCAGATTTAATAGTTGTTGCTTCCTTTTTTCTGTGTCCCGCTTTTTCAGGCCTCAAAATCTTAATTTAACTGCTGTAAGTGAAAGTATCTTGATGGATAATCTGGAGATCTTCCAAAAAAATGGATTTGATTTTGTGGTTGATGAAAACGGTGAGTTCTACCCTACCATCTTTCCTAGCTTTGGTAGAGGAAGTGGGGAGAGAGTGACTGTCTCTGCTTTGGGACTATGAAACATCTTTCAAATAATTAAAATGGAAAAATTAGCATGCCAAACAATTCCATTTTAAAACAGTCTGAAAGAGTGCTCTTCTAATCGTCTTTGAAATTGGAGCTCAATTGGATATTCTTTTCATGCAAAGAAAAAAAAATACACTCAGTTTAAAACTTAACCTGCAAGATTTAGCTCCTTATTGGCAATTATTACACAAGTAGTTGGGTTAAACATTATCTCCGTGTAAAGAGACTGTGACCATTATGTTGTTTTGAAAACCTTTCAGCTCCTGTAACTCAGAGAGTGAAGCTCATATCTTTACCAACCAGCAAAAACTGGACTTTTGGTCCTCAGGATGTAGAAGAATTAATCTTTATGTTAAGCGATTCTCCGGGAATCATGTGCAGGCCCTCCAGAGTAAGGCAAATGTTCGCCTCTCGAGCGTGTCGAAAATCCGTAAGTATAACAGTTGCTGTAAACTGAAGCTTGGATGGATGGATGGATGGAGCGTTGATACCTGAATGGGTTATTTCAAGGAACAAGGAAGCAGCTAAGCCAAAAGGAATTGATACTGAACTCTAGACTTTGCTCCTGTTACAGGTGATGATTGGAACCGCCCTCACCGCCGGTGAAATGAAGAAACTGATTTCTCACATGGGTGAAATTGAGCATCCTTGGAATTGTCCGCACGGAAGGCCCACCATACGGCATTTAGTCAACCTGGACCTCATTACACAAGAGTGACAGGATTCTAGCACTTACTTTACTGTGGAACGCAACCGCAGTCTCATTTTAGAATCATAAGCTGTCACAAAGCTCTCGATTTTGCTGGACCAGAAGCTTAAATAATGGCTGCAAAAGAAGAACATGTGTGTTTTTTTCTTTTTCTCTCTTTCTCTCAAATGGTTCATGTAGACACAATAACTTTCCATCTCCTGCCCTCTGAAAAAAGACTTTTCACATTTTTGTTTAAAAAAGCAGCCAGAAAATAGAGATTTTTACCCGTCCACCCCCCCAAATGGACTTGTTTTACGGCTACCTTTGTGGAAAGATTGGCTTTCTGTCCATTTTATCGATTTCCTCTGGACAGGAAGAATTAAGTGCACATAACTGACTTTTTAGAGGATTTTCTATTTTAGAACAGACCTGTTTTATAAATAAAGAATAAAAAAAAAATACACAAAACTTCTTTGTGCTTTAACAGAATGGTTTCCATCTACAGTGTACAATGTGATGGCCAGTTCCTGTAGGTATGATAGAGATGGTTGATGCCAGTTGTGAGTTTTATGTCGTCACAGCATTTTAATAATTGGAAAACGAAAGGCTTAAACAATTCTCTACTATTACAGCCTTTAGTATCTGATTTGTCTTCATTGTTTTGAGCATAACATTCACCCTTAAATTCCTTTCTCATCTTCTGTATCTACATGAATTTTCTTGCTCCTGAGTAATAGAAAAGCAATAGGTTTAATAAATAAGGGAGGAATTGGGCCATTTCTAAAATCGGAGCTTGACCGACTTGGAAGTTATCTGTCACTTTGCATCAACTTCTTTATAAAATTAGCTTGAATTTAAAATTAAAAAAAAATAATTTGTGCCTGTTATGTCCTTCTAAAGAATAATTTTGAAAGCATCCAATTAATCGCAAACAAGAGCAGGCAGACCTGATCAATCTCAGATGATCTGTAAAGAATAAAAAAGTTCATATTCTAATTCATCAAATAATGAAGTTAATATACATTATCTCTGCATGCGTACGCTTTTTATTGTCGTGAAAAAGAAATTGGACAACTTGTTTGTCTGGGATGGTGTAAGATGATCTGCTCAAGCAGAGGGTTAGACTAGAAGACCTCCCAGGTCCCTTCCCATCCTGTGATTTTATGTTCTGTGTTCTCAATGTGATGCATATACACAAACAAACAACTATCTAAAGGTGGGACATTTGTGTGCTATTCCGCAGTTGTGCAATTGGGCCGGACTTTCAAAATCAAAACTCCCCCTTTGCAAATCCGAGCCAGTTTTCTACTGTTGTTATACCGAAAAGTCAACCCGGAAGAAGAGCTGACCAAAGCCCCGCCCAACCAGGAAGCTTCTGTCTCGCCCCGCCCAGTCCTGTGGTTGCTATGGCCACCGCCCAAGCCCCATACCATCGTTGCTATGGCTACGACTCAGTCCTCTTAGCAACTGGCGTCGCAGGGAAACTTCAGCCAACTTTTTGCAAAGGGTTGCAAAATAGGAGGGATTTCCAAAGAGGTGGATTTTAATATATATTCCCCCCCCTTGATTTTCTTCGTGGCTTTCAAGTTTGCATTTGCTGCCCAGCCCCTGATAGCTGAAGGACTACAATTCCCCTAATCCCCACCCCACTCCTGTGTTTTGCTAGTACGGTTATTGCAAATTCTTGAACATCCCTCCCAACCTTGCTGGCCCATGCAGTGATTTGGGGGCTAGTTATTATTCTTATTTTCGTTATTGAGTCAAATTTGGATCCATTCTGGGTCTCTCTGTTTGTTCTTAAAAGGCCTTAAAAGCTGGTTAAAAGTTACAGTTTGGAGTGGTCTTTTGCAGTTACATTTGGAGTTTTCAAATGTTGCTTTCTGGAATAGAAGCATTTCCCACCCCAAAAATCCTTACAATCCAAGGGCTATTAAAAATAATAACAATGAGAAAAAGCTCCCGGTTTTTAGAAAGAGGTCGGGGTTGTTCTTTTTTTAAACATGTGTATAATGTATAATGACCATATTTTCTTGGAAATAAAAATATAAAGGCTCCATCAGGGTAAAGAATGTTGTTTATGGATGTAACTTGGCTTTACAAAGGACAATTCAAGAACAAAACTAAAAAAAAAATCAGAAAAATGTGCAGTTTAACATTAATATCTAAAAACATCTAAAAATGATTTTTATTAAGTTATAAACTTTAAACTGAAGGTATAAGAAGTAAGCATTAAAAACAATTTCTGCACTTAGGCTGTGCATTAAGCAGGCCCATTTGTACAACAGAAGGGAAATGGGCAAAATAAAAGTGAATTTTTGAAAAAAATAAATAAATCCATAGGACAATTTTCTGAAATAAAGAACTCTTCTTTGTAATATAACAACATAAAGTAAAAATTTAATAAGGCTTCTATGAAGGCTTTTTTTGTATGTACGTTTCACTATGTTACAAAGTAGTAAATTCTTCGAACATCAATAAAAATTATAATTTTTTTGATTATGTTTCGGGTTTTATTTATTCTACTAGATTGTTGGTCAACAACTATAAATAAGTTTTTATTACATTCAATATGTCATCATTGCCTTTTAATTGCTCAACAAAGAAAATAAGTAATAAACTTAACTAATTTTAAATTTTACTGACCATGTGAGTCACTTAACAACTGTAGTGATTCACTTAAGAACCATGGCAAAAAAAGTTCAGAATGTTGGGTATGATTCACTTAACAACCACCTTGGTTGGCAACATACATTCTGATCTCGTTGTGGTTGTATGTTGAGGAATACCTGTATAATCATTGTTCAATCATTTCTCTCTCTCTGAAGTGTAGGCACGCCTCCTAATGAAGTATTTATTTTTCCCACCTCAAGATTAAAAAGAGGAGCTGCACTCTTTCCCAGGACGCCTAATTCTGTCCTACGTCAGAGCGATGGGTAAAGATAAGAAGAAAGAGAGTAAAAAGGGAGACAAGTCGGCGACTACTCCAGCCCATGACACATCCATGGAGTTAGCCGTTTCCAACCAGAATGTCCCACCTCTGGCAGACCAGGGGGACGAACACTTGGCTTCTCAGGTAGCTTCCAAAGAAGAAAACAAGGACGCAGAGCCTCCCCCTGTCCCTGAACCCATTGAGTATGAAGAACCCATCCTCACACAACTGATTGTTGAAAGGTAAAACCAGAGTTTTGCTAAAAAAATGGAGTATGGTCACAGGGTGCTGGTATCCAGGGGTGGGCTGCTGGGGGCTCGCAGGGGCTCAGAGAGCCCCTGATAACCTCAGAAAGACAAGCAGCAAGGGAAAGCGCTTCCTAGGCTTAATTGAACTTCTGGGCATTCCGCCAAGAGCATTTCACACCTGGTAAAAGTGTTGCAAGCTAGATAAACAATCCACTCAGTGCTTGCAAAGGAGAGCCATTGAGAAAATCAGATAACATAGCCCCTAGCCTCTGAGGGGATTAATCCCCAAATAATAAGAATCATGTAACTCACCAGAAACTTCATTAATTTTAATGGCTTGCATTGATTTTATGATACCGCGAGCTGCCCAGAGTCGCTTGGCAGTAAAACGGGCAGCATACCAATTTAGTAATTCAACAAACCAACCAACAAACAAATAAATTTTCATCTTGAATTTATGTTTTCCATAGCTACGAGGGAGAAAAGGTCCGAGGCTTGTATGAAGGGGAAGGAACTGCCTATTTTCAAGGAGGCAACGTCTACAAGGTGACAATATCTATGTGTTAAATCTTAAGGATATAGAATTTCCTTCCGTGGGATAGGCCATTTCATTATTTCCTTGAGGAGTAGGGTGGATTTAAAGGCTAGCTTCTTTTATTTCCTGTATGTGGATTGAAAGAGTGGCGTGAACTCAACCCTGGTGAGAAAACCAGGGCTGAGTGACTTTCTGGCAGACGTGTAGAAATCTGACTTTCCTTACTGTTCTGCAATTTGAGGGATCATGCCATCCACTCGTCAGCTTCTTCTTGCCATTTTGTAGGGCATGTTTTCAGAAGGGCTCATGCACGGACGAGGGACTTACACGTGGGCCGATGGAGTGCAGTACGAGGTGAGTAACTGTCCCAGAATTTTTAGCAAGACGGGCTATTTTACATGGAGATGTTGGGAGTCAGACTTCCATCTGGAAGGTTCCTGGTTGGGAAGGCCTGGTCTGTCTTCAAATGACGTTCGTCCATTTTTGAAGAGGACCTTGACATCTAACGAGTTGTGGCTGTCCACGGAGTGTCCACAGGTGGCCAGTAAGGCCTCTATGGACATGGAATGTTCTGCCACGTGTTGGGCAGAGATGTGCGGGTACCACTATTGCAGCATTTGCAGCTCTGGCTCTGCGGAGTGCTCTCTTCTGTTGTGCTGTGGTTGTCCTTCCGTCTTCAAATGTCTGGCAGCCTCGGTGGATCAGCGTGGGCCATGTCAATCAATCTCATGCCAGGGTTTCCCAGGAGGTAGGGTCACTATCCAGGGGACTTGAGAGAGGCTTTCAGCATGTCTTTGTGTCGCTTCCTTTGTCCCCCTCCCCTTGTGATCGCTTTCCTTGAGACAGCTCACCCTAGGGGAACTGTTTGTTGTGGTTCGGCGGCAGCCTGTGCAGATGGCAGTGTAATTGGACAATGGGGAAGAACGGGGACCAATCAGGGAGTCTGGAGAGGACTCGAACGAGGGTCCTGCATCCGATGCAGAGATGGGGCCAGGACCAACTGGGGTTGGAGTGCTGACTCCGGAGCTTCCAGAATCTGACAGCAGCAAGGCCGAGGAGCCAGGGGAGCCTGTTCCCAGTGCACACATGCACAGAGCTGCTAGAAGGCGAGAGGTCTTAAAGAAGACAACTGTTTGTCTAAAATATTACAGGGTTTATTACCTGAGCAGGGGATTGGACTAGAACTTGCAGCGGTGGTATTCAGCAGGTTCTGACCAGTTCTGGAGAACCGGTAGCGGAAATTTTGAGTAGTTCGGAGAACCGGTAGCAGAAATTTTCAGTAGTTGAGAATACCACCTCTGACTGGCCTGCCCCCATCTCTTCTCCGCCTCCCTTTGAGTCCCAGCTGATCGGCTGGGTCTTCTTTTGTTGCCCTGCACAGAAGAACAGAGCTGGAAAGCAGGTTAGTGGGGCAGGGAGGGAATGGGGATTTTACAGTATCCTTCCCCTGCCATGCCCACCAAGCCACACCCACAGAACCGGTAGTAAAAAATTTGGAATCCCACCACTGACTGGAAGACTTCTAAGGTCCTTTCACTTCGTTATTCCATTCAGTGTTCCAATATCTAAGGCAAGGGTCTTCCAACTTGGCAAGTTTAAGACTTGTGGACCTCAACTCCCAGAATTCCTGAGCTAACTTGACTGGATTCTGAGAGTTGAAGTCCACAAGTCTTAAAGCTGTCAGGTTTCGAAGACCCCTGATCTAAGGGGATCCCACAAAGAAGAGGGAGTCAAGCTATTCTCCGAAGCACCCGAGGGCAGGACAAGAAGCAATTCATGGAAACTCCTCATCACTGGAGGTTTTTAAGAAGAGATCAGACAGTTCACTTGTCCGAAATGGCTGCCTGGGGGATTCTGGGAGTTGAAGTCCACAAGACTTAAAATTGCCAAGTTTGGAGACCTTCCCTCCTGCTCGACGTGGTCGAGTTTTCCTACCTTTCAAGGTGAAAGGTAAAAGAATGAGCTGCTTCTTACTCCTACACTTTCCTCTCTTGCAGGGAAACTTCGTCAAGAATGTGCAAATGGATCATGGCACTTACAAGTGGCTGGACGGCAGCACGTACGAAGGTGAAGTGAAGAATGGGATCAGAAACGGTTTCGGCATGTACAAATGTGGCACCTATCCTGTTTCGTACATTGGCCAGTGGGTGGAAGGCAAGAGACACGGCAAGGTAGCGAAAACGTGGTCGCTGGAAGCATGCACGGAGTCCTTGTTTTAGAACCGTTCCTTTAGTGACCGTTCAAAGTTACAAAGGCACTGAGAAAAGTGACTTATGACCATTTTTCACACATGCAACCATTGCAGCCTCCCCATGGTCACACGATCTAAATCCAGCCGCTTGGCAACTGACTCGTATTTATGGCAGTTACAATTTCCCGGGGACATGTAATCCCCCTTTTTGTGACCTTCTGACAAGCCAAATCAGTGGGGAAAGCGAGATTCACCTCACAACTATGTCACTAACTGAACAACCGCAGTGATTCCTTTAACAACTTGCAGCAAGAAAGGGACAAAATTTACCTCAGAACTGTCTCACCTAGCAACAGAAATGTTGAGCTCAATTGTGGTTATAAGGGTGAAGTTACCTGTAGTTGCCATGATTGGATTCTGGGCAGGAAGGTCTTCTTTGCAGAGATGTTGAGACTCTTGAAAGAGTGCAGAGAAGAGCGACCAGGACGATGAGGGGTCTCTGGAGGCTAAAACATACGATGAACGGTTGCAGGAACTGGGCCTGGCTAGTCTAGTAAAGAGAAGGACCAGGGGAGACAGGATAGCAGCCTTCCAATATTTGAGGGGCTGCCCCAGAGAGAAGGAGGGGGATCAAGCTATTTTCTAAAGCCCCCAAAGGCCAGACAAGGGAGATTCAACCTAGAAATAAAGTGAAATTTCCTCACAGTGAGAACAATCAACCAATGGAACAGCTTTCCCTCAAAAGTTGTGGGAACATCATCACTTGAGATTTTCAAGAAGCGATTGGACTCCCATCTGTCAGAAATGATGTTCGGTCTCCTGCTTGGGCAGGGGGTTGGACTAGATGACCTACAAGGTCCCTTACAACTCTGATTATCTGAGATCATGGCTGTCCCATCCAGCATCAACTTAAAATCCTCTTCCGGGCCTTTCCTTCTCCCAGCCACAAAGGAGGAAATCTTGGGGTTGGCTTCTTAGCAGACTGACGGATAATCTGAAGTGTTTTAGTAACATGTCTTCTGCTGGTGTAAAAACCTGATGGTTGAGTCGTCTTAAGTGCATTAAAGTATTTGTGCAATTGATTTTCAGGGCACCATTTACTACAACGAGTCCGGTTCTTCTTGGTACGAAGGAGACTTTGTGAATAACATAAAAAGTGGATGGGGAGTAAGACGGTAAGACGATCCTTTCTTCTCTGTGGGGAAGTTAGAACTTTCGGAGGAGTTACATAATGGAATGACAGAGTTGGAAGGGACCTTGGAGGTCTTCTAGTCCAACCCCCTGCCTAGGCAGGAAACCCTACACCATTTCAGACAAATGGTTATCCAATCTGTCCATCACTTCCAGTGATGGAGCATTTACAACTTCTGGAGGCAAGCAGTTCCACTGGTTAATTGTTCTCACTGTCAGGAAATTTCTCCTTAGTTCTTGGTTGCTCTTCTCCTTGATCAGTTTCCATCCATTGTTTCTTGTCCTGCCCTCAGGAGCTTTCGAGAAGAGGTTGACTCCCCCTTTTCTTCGTGGCAGCCCCTTAGATATTGTCCCCCCTGGATCACAAGAATGTTCACCCCAATTTTATGGAGCCAGTAGGACAAGGACCAGAATAAAATGCAACTGCTAGATTTTAGGAAATACTGTTTGGCTCAGAAACCAAGTTTTGGGATGAAGAAAGGGATGATAAGGCTTCAAACTCAGTGGTGTTCCTGAAGAAAATTGCTCCTGCATATTCTGTTTTTGTTTTTTTGTTTTAATGAGAGGAAAGCTTCTGATGTATGACATTTGATCTACACAGGACTTCCAGAATTTTCAACAAAAAGGGCTATTTTCGATGGAGATGCTGGGAGCTGAACTTCCATCTGGAAGGTTCCTTTTTGGGAAGGCCTGGTCTGCCTTAAAATGATTTTCCTCCGTTTATTGAACTATAGTGTTGATGTTCTTCTCGGTCTCTTTGAACAGTTACAAATCTGGAAATATCTATGAAGGGCAATGGGAGAGAGACCTACGCCATGGAGAAGGACGAATGAGGTGGCTAACATCAAACCAGGAATACACTGGAATGTGGGTTAATGGTGTACAGGTGAGACCAAATAGAACAGTTTTTCTTTTCCCAAATCCTCCAACTATAGAGAGTTGCGGCCATGTCACGTGTGGGAATTCACTGGAGAAAGCAATTGTGTTTGGAAGAGTTAGTGGTAAAAGGAAGTCAGGCCATCAAAGAACATGATGGTGGGAGACCATCAAACGGACATCAGCCAGAGCATAGAACAACTCAGAGAAGTCGTGCAAGACTGGAAGATGTTGAGAGACCAGGCCCATAAAATTGCCAACAGTCAGACACCACTGAATGAATAACAGCTTCATCACCATCATCTTCATCGATGGTTATGGCTTAGTCTTGTATGGACCTAAGGGTTTCTCTAGACTTTGTTTCTCAAAGTTTGGATATAGAATTCATTTGGACATCTAAACAATGGCTGAGTTAGATGTGTTAAAAGTCCATGTGTTTCCCCCCCGTAAAACCATAAAATCAGGGGGTCTCCGACCTTGGCAACTTTAAGACTTCTGTACTTCAACTCCCAGAATTGTTGGCTGAGGGATTCTGGGAGTTGAAGTCCAAAAATCTTAAACTGGCAAGGTTGGAGACCTCTAGGACAAGCAAACTTCAGTACCTTTAAGATATTGTAGACTTCATCTCCCAGGATTCCCCAGCCAGCATGAATTCTGGGAGTTGAAGTCCACACCCCTTCAAGTCACTAAGATTGAAAATCACTGCTCTAGGGAAATGTTCTGGTTGATTTCCTTAGCACGGGCAAGGTACCCACACCTGGTATCTGAAGAGGATCGCTGGGTCACAGTATCCCCTAAGGAATGAGTACGTGGGAGAGTTCGTCAACGGTGATCGGCACGGACACGGGAAATTCTTCTTTGCCAGCGGCGCCATGTACGACGGAGAATGGGTGCTGAACAAAAAACATGGCGCGGTAAGGATGAAGAATTTTGGGGAAAGAGCGAGAAGATCAGAGCAGTCATTTTGCTCTTCTAAACACGTAGCCCATCCTTGTTTCTCTCTCCTCTTTCCTAGATCTTTCGTTCCGTTCCTGTTCACACAATCCCCTTATTCTTGTGAATTAAGCCATAGTTTATTCCATGAACCCGTTTTCTGGGTTTGTAGAGCATCATTAACTCCTTGGGCTTAGTCCCCATCACATGTTAGACTGAAAAGTGATCAGCTACTGAGGGTTTGGTCCATCTCAGACATGTTCATGCCAACACTTTTTGGAGGCAGGATCCTGTTTCTTATTTATACATACTTCTGTACGATAGGTAGATATTTTACATCTTCAGTCCCTTAAAATGGATGTTATGCACCTACCCAAGCAATGGAGGTTTTCCATAGGTCTTCATTTTTGCTTCTCCTGAATTTAGGAGTTTGGAAGTTAAGCTCCTTGGCTTGTGATCTCTGAGCTTCCTCCAAAGCCTGCGAGCAAGATTTTATGGTGAAAAACAAACCAAGATTATAAACAATTTCTCTAACACATTAATACGTCAAATTTACCACAGAGCAAAATAACAATCATTTTAAGACCAATTTCTTCAAGTTGAACTCAACTCATTGAACACCTTGATCATTTTCTTGGCAATCACACGCGGAGAATGTTCAACACTACTACCTTTTCTCATATATTTTTTTGGCTTTCTATTCTTCTACATTCTCTGAAATTTAGTCACCTTCCCATCCATGTGCTACTCAGCTCCAACCCTGCTTAGCTGCTAAAATGTTCCCAGCCATGACCTAGCACCCGTTTCTAGCCTACAGTCCCGTCTCTTCCTCTAATGTTGCAAACTCAACAGCCCAGGAGAAGAGAGATCGTGTGTGGGTCTAGTATGGGTAAAAGTTAACCAGGTTTTAAAAGCAGAACCCTGTTCCTTTCCCCCCACCCTTCAGGGCAAGCTGGTTTTCAAGAACGGCCGTGTGTACGAAGGCGAATTTAACTACGATCACATAACGGAATGCCCATCCTTGCAAATAGACATGACCAATATGGAAGCACTGAGCAACCGCTCTTTGAAGGGTTTTTCTGGCATAGGTGAGTTGCTTCAAAGTAGGTAGAAGAAAAGATTAGACTTGATGAGCTTTATCTAACATTCTTGAAACCTTCTCAGCTTTTAAAATAGAAGAAGTTTCAAAATAGAGGTAGTCCTCACCTTTGGACCACAATTGAGCCTGAAATTTCTTATTGCGAAGTGAAATATGAGTGAGTTTGGTCCCATTTTACACCCTTTCCTGCCACAGCTGTTAAGTGAATCAGCTGCACTTGTTAAATTAATAACACAGTTGTGAAGCAAATCTGGCTTCCCCATTGACTTTGTCAGAAGGAGATCACATGGACCCTGTTGGTCATTTGCATCCTTTTTAGAGAGTCGTTGAGGCCACTTGGAGGTTGATCTGCAGCAGTTCCAAAAAGGCTTCACTCTCATTTGCACTCCCCGGGTGACCCTCAGGACACAGATAAACCACTAAGTGGCCTCAGCGACTCTAAAATGGATGCAAATGACCAGCTCCGCCTGCAAGGAGTATCAATGCTTCCCTTCCCCACTATCCAGTTAGAGCTGAAGAAGCTTCTTGGATGAGAAGCGAAACATCTTCAAAGAAAAACCAGAAAGTCCAGGTGCCTCTTGAAAAAAAGCACCTCTGGGACAACCTGGATGAAACATTTGTGTTTGCGTTTATCCTTCCCTGTAGATGCCCTCAGTTTCCACGACGGTGCCTTTCTTTTAAAGAAGGTTGAAGCATTTGTCATTTTCTCTTTTTCACCGCCCAGATAGTGTCAAAGTTGTCGATCATTCCAGGATCTCCTCTTTGTCAGGACCAAACATCGAAATAGATCTTTCGACCTTGTTGGCTTTATTTCCGGAAAAAGATAAGGAAGATGAAATGAAACAGGTATGGAAAGCTTGGTCTACACTCACAACACTGGGGGCCCAAACGATAGAACCAAAACAAGACACTAACAGAAGAAGAAAAAGTTAAGATCCTGGTCTTCCAACCAAGATGGAAAGGGTTGTTGCAATGAACAAAAGGAAGAGCCAAACTCTCTTAGGGTGTTTGGAAGTGGTGTCCACGGTTTATATAATTTGGAAGCTTCACAAAGCAACGTGAGAGGCTGACGTTGCGCGGAATTGTCTGCTGGAAAGAGACGCCGGCAGACACATCATACCACTCCGGGACCAACAGAAGGGAATATTTGTAGCTCAGAGTTTGAACTGTGAGGTCTTTGACGCTCTCTGAGCTTGGTGGTTTTCTTGCAGAGGTTTCATTACCCAAAGAGGTAACATCATCAGTGCTAGAAAGGAGTGGAGATTGTGGAGAGGAGGAGGAGGGGGGAGGGGGAGGAGGAGGAGGAGGAGGAGAACTATTGGATCCTTGGTGCTTTCTGAGCTTGGAGTTTTCTTTCGTTTCATTACTCAACTAGGTAGCTAGCACCGATGAAAGAAAACTGATGACGTTACCTAGTTCAGTAAAGAAATGTCTGCAAGAAACCCACCAAGGATCCCCACACATCTCCAGGCGGGCCCTACTCGCTGAAACATCAACGGGGGCCCATATCAACCCTCCTCTCTTACTCTCGATCCATTCTTCGCTTCTCCTAGACAGAATACGCTGTGCTGAGATACATTTCTGAGCTGAGGAGGATCTACACCTTCTACAGCAGCCTGGGCTATGACCACTCGCTGGACAACACCTTCCTGATGACCAAGCTTCAGTTCTGGAGGTTCTTGAAGGACTGCAGGTTTCACTACTGCAACCAGACCCTCGCTTCCATGGACCGCATTCTCAACGGTGCGTCTTTCTTGTTGCAAGGCCATGACTTCGTGATGGGGTCCTGGTTTATCCCAAACTGTCATGCCCCTGACAGCTGACAGGGCGTGGGAGTGTGGCTCCATTGGCTGGGGAAGAAACTGGGGAAGGGCACAGCCTGGCTGGGCTGAGCAGGGGAGAGGCAGAGCGAGGCAATTTCAACCATTTTCCCAAACGGGATAATATTCCAGAGTCTTCCTTGTCCTTTAACTCTTAAGGTGAGTGGATCCATTTCTGTGCAATCTAAGATCTTTCGGAGTACTAAACAATCTGTCGGTATAGTGACCATTTTCCAGGATTGTGCGAGTGCAATTCTCGCTGCTGTGGTTTATGTGTAAAATCAAATATTTTATCTTTTGTGGTGGGTACGTTCCATTAATAACCGCCAGAACAAACAGTTCTGGCTTCAATTCTATTCGGCATGTTGTAATTTCATACAACCGTTTTTGTATTTTGGTCCAATATTTTTTAACTTCAGGGCAAAGTATGTTTGTGTGTGTATGTGTGTGATTTTAGGTCATTGTTGACTCCTGGCGACTTTGACTTTTAACATGCCCAGCAACTGTGTAAATTGCTCACCCACATTTTTTGCATTTTACAAGATAATCAATCAGTCCTTGAAGTATTCAAATGTAAATTTTCAGTCTCTCTCTCTCTCTCTCTCTCTCTCTCTCTCTCTCTCTCTCACAGACACACACACACACACACACACACACACACACCTCTCTTACATACTTCTTTCCTTTTGGAATTTTTTTCTGAATGTTTTTAGGATTTAAATGCCTTTTTTTTTTTTTTTTTTTTTGCAAGAAGGAATGAAAGAGAAAAAGGGTTCAAATGACAAAAGGTTGAAAGAAATAGAAACCGGAAGCAAGGGGCTGGAATCGGTAGAGAGATAAATACAGAAACAGATTTCTCTCTCTTTTAAAAAATTTCACATCCAAATCTCTGCAGGATTTGCAAAAACCAGTTGTGTATTGTTGCTGTTTCTTAGCAGAAGATAATAAAACAACATGCAATCTTAAGCTAAAGAGTTTTGGGGTTGTTGTTTTTTTAAAGCGACAAGCTGTTGAAAGGAAACTTAACCAATCCGGAAGATGTAGGGGGCGGAGCTATGCAAATCTAAAACCGACGGCCAGGGCAGAAAGCCCCAAATTTGACATAATCCAGGGAAAAACGATAAATTCTGCAGATCCTCATAACTGGAAGGACTTTGTTCTGGTGGGATTTGGAAAGGGCGTGTTTTTCAGAGGCTAATCCTGAGAGCAGGAACCGGCCAGACCTGGCTTTAGTACTTAGCCCACGCGCAACTCCGATGCGGTCGCACAAACCTGTGATTTCAAGAAAAGGGAAGCCCTTGTGCATCCCGCCAACCCTCAGGTATCGCTTCTCGGCCTTTTGGCTAAGATCAAGTGTAGTATCTGTTCTTATCAGTTTAATATCTGATATGTCTTCTATCTGAAGACTATGTATTAAATGGATTTTTGCAACTGGGAGATGGAACAGGGGCTTGCTCCATCCACTCCACGCATTGACCTGGTATTGCAGTACTTCCAGGCCCAGTGCACCCCCCTAATGTGGTTCAAAATTAGATTTCAGTATTTTTTTTTCTGTTTTCTTTTATTTGTTCTATTTTATAATGCATCTCCTTCTATTCTTTCTTACTTTTCTCTTCTTCGTTCAACATTTTTCTTGTTTCTTCCTCTTTTCCTCCTAGGCTTTCTCTATTCACTTCTAACTCTTCTCCTTCTTGCTTTTCCTCCTTTATTTCAGTTCCTTCCATTTTTTCCCTTTATATGTTTTCTTCTGTTTGTTCCATTCTATAATGCATCTCCTTCTGTTCTTCCTTTCTCTCTTCTTCGTGCAAGGTTTTTCTTGTTCTTTCTTCCTCTTTTCCTCCTAGGCTTTCTCTATTCACTTCTAACTCTTCTCCTTCTTGCTTTTCCTCCTTTATTTCAGTTCCTTCCATTTTTTCCCTTTATATGTTTTCTTCTGTTTGTTCCATTCTATAATGCATCTCCTTCTGTTTTTCCTTTCTCTCTTCTTCGTGCAACGTTTTTCTTGTTCTTTCTTCCTCTTTTCCTCCTAGGCTTTCTCTATTCACTGCTTCTCCTTCTTGTTTTTTCCCCTTTATTTCAGTTCCTTCCATGTTTTCTTTCTATTCCTCCTCCCTCCAACTTTATTTCAAGTTCTCATCCTTTTCTTATTCCATTCTTCTCCTTTCCTTTCATTTTCTTTCCGCCTCTTTCTTTTCCTTCTTTGCGGATGATATTTCTGTGTGATAGATAGGTAAATGAAGCTGGCTACCTACCTACCTAGGTAGATAGAAGATAGATAATAGATGATAAAGATAGATAGGATGTTAGATGATGATAGATAATGGGTAAGATGATAGACAAATGATAGCTAGCTAGGTGGTAGATAGATGACAGGCAGATAAATCTCCTGTTTCTGTGCATGATGGTATTTGTGTTTTTCAGATAAAACGTTACTGGAAGAGATTCATTCTCCATATGAGACTTTGCTACTTCGGATGTTTTTGACGTACCTGATTTACCTGTCCTTCCACATTTATCACAAGGATTTTGAGTAAGTAGAGCGCAGTTGATGACCTGGTCACACCGTTTGAGACCCCTCTGCCCACGTCTATCCAATGGAGGGTATATCTGAGTTTCTGTGCCTCCGGTTTAGATGGGTTTAAAAGGAATTTAGACCAAGTTATGGAGATTTTTTTTACGCCTGGAGAAACCTTTTCCTCGCTGTTTGATAAATATGGATGACTTCCATCACAAGGAGAGGCAAAGATGAGGGGCGTGGGCGGTTGTCGCTTTTTATCACATCAAGGCCAGTGACATTTACCACCTGCAGTTAATTCTCAGGGAAGTTTTTATATTATTGTTTTTCTAAGCGCTGTCCAATTAATCGAAGTGGCTTTTTATTTCGCTAACGCTGTGGCTTTGCACTTTTGCATGTGGCCCAGCCTTCTCTCACTCAACCCTCTTCAGGTGAGTTGGATCTGAACTCCCAGAATTAAGTTTTGGACCAAGCTGAGTATGGAAAGGACCAGGTTGGGTTGAGCACTGAATGCATCTCAGCACTCAGCGCAATGGGGATAGCCTCTCAGATGTAAAATGAACTCGACTTGATTTATTTTTCCCCGAATTTTTGAACCTGCTTTTGTTGGTTCTTCCAATAGCAACCTTATAATAGTAGTCTTCTCTAACCCTAGTGACACAAGCCCTCGCCTATTCAAGTGCTTCTCCAAGCTGATGGTCAAGAATATTTGTCCCCATGCCTGCCGTATCAAAGGTAGGGTCAACTTTTGCGTGGCTGGTGGATTTTCTGACCTTCTTCAGTTTCCCCTCTTATGTTGTCTGACCAATTAATATCCCTGTAGTAACTAGCTAAGGAGCACAGTGGCTGGGGTGGTTAGAATGCTGGAGTGCAGGTTAGCAAGCTCGCGTTCGAGTCCCAAGTGCTGCCGTTGGGCAGGGTTGAGCTCCCGTCCTTCGCTCCAGCTCCTGCCAGAGCCATGAAAGGAGCTGTGATGATCTGGGGCGTGGCACAAAGGTAACACAGTCACATAAGTAAGAAAAGTCCCTTTAGTACCTCCAACTTTGTCCCCAATGTCCAGGTTACCTTCAGCTGGAGAAAAAAACTCTCTCAGGAACAGCCTTTAAGTGGAGGAAATTCAGTCCAAAAACAAAGTACATACAAACTGTAAATAAAAATCCACACAAACCACGCTGCAGTAATTAACTGGACAGGGCAGAAGAAGGAATTGCAGACTTGAAAGGCCAGCAAAACACACACAGTTGGGATGATGGCAGGAACCCAGATAAGACTCAACAATACCAGATAATTCATGATTTGCTCTCAACCATTGGCTGTGCGCAGCTTCCTGTTTAAAACACTGTGTTCCCAGATACGGCTAATTAAGGGAATCAGGGCCCTTTCCTCCCCCTTAAGTCACGCAACCCACGTTGCTCTCTTCTCCGTTCCTCCCTGCATGCCCTAGGATGAAGAGGGGGTGGGCCTGGGTCTTCCTCTGAACTCCCTCTCCCTTGTTCTACCTCTGCCCAGCCAGACTATGCCCTTCCCTAGTATCTTCCACAGCCAACATAGCCAGACTCCCACTCCCTGTCAGCTGCTTGGCCTCCCCCTCAGAATCAGATTCCGACAGGGGCACGACAGGAGCCCTCAACTGGGCAACCATGATGTCACCAGCTAATCCTTTCAACCCGGAAGCGCCTTGTTTTCCCGAGTGCTATGTTAATCCTCTCACCTTCTCCTCACCTTCCCAGGCATTTTGTTCAGCGACCGACAGCAAGCCGTCTATGCGCTCAGCTACATCGATAAGTGCTGGGAGGTTTTCCAGGCGTTCTGTAGACCAAGCACTCTCCCTCCTTACGAACCTACAATGAAGATGAGACACTTCATTTGGATGCTGGAAGTAATCTTAACTCTCAGAAACTTTAGCAGCAGGTCTCTTTAACCCACCTTGACCGACCTGATCTTATGGCATTTCAAGGCCGCACACGATCCAATCTGGGTTCGGTCAGCAGGATCCAGCGACTGGCTCAGATTGGATCTTGCAACTGTCAACTCGTAAAATATTTCTGTGGTCTTTTTAGCGTTGCCAACAGAACGGGAGGAGGGAAAGGGGTTTGAAAGAGCAGTGTGGAGTTTGCAAAACCGAAAGCGCATTCCATAAATGTTCTCAAAGATAGTAACTAGGTGACTGAAGTTTCTACCATGCAAAATTCTAACTGGAGAGCATGATGGATGACTCTTGGCTATGGCTGTGTCCCATTGGAGAATATGAATTAGGATACACCCAGGGTGTGGGGGGAAAACCAGGGTCAAAGGTGACAATGAATGAGGTGTCTCAGAGTCAGCTACACCCAGGCAGTGCCGGCATGTTTACTCCTAATAAATCTTTAAGTTTGGAAGTTCAACTAGAGACTCATGATTTAAATGGGGTTAAGTGTTGGAATCCTGACAACAACATTATCCTGGGACACATATATTTACCTTCCTTTGTAATCTCAAGGTTATTAACATTGCAAAAGTGCTTTTTTTTCAAGAGGCAACTGGAGTTTTCTGGTTTTTCTTTGAAGACGTTTCACTTCTCATCCACGAAGCTTTTTCTTCAGCTCTGGGCTGGAGACATCACACCCTCCTATCTAGGTCCTGCCTCAATCAATCATTGAAGTGCGATTCTTAAGACAAACATGGCTAAAACTAACCTTCTTTTGGGGGGGGGGTTATTTTTCTATCTTTAGGATTTAAGACTCATAAGCAAACAACTAACAGCTACCAAGGTTGTGGGTATCTTGGCCAAAGACAATCCTTTCGTCTCGGAGGCAGAGATTCTGAATTTGGAGCACGAGGTATGAACTGAAAAGAGCTTGTGATGGACAGATTGGCAACAGGCGAAACAATTTCAAGAGAAAGGTTTTAGAGCTTAGAAGTCTTCTGCCTCAGGGTTTTCCAATTTTAGCAACTTTAAGACTTGTGGCTTTCAACTCCCAGAGTTCCTCAGCCATTCATTCCCAGCGTTGAAATAAAACAAGATTTGTTTGGGCTAAACATGTGCTTAATTATGGTTTCAGGAAGCCTTGGTCAGAACATTATCCTTGAATCCTCTTGACTTCTCAGGACTTCTCTTGACTTCTTTGCCTGGCCTTGTCTTCTTCGGTTTCTCTTTCAGCTTGTCTTCCTCGAGTTCTTTGAAGCTCTGGTAGACTGCGCTCTTCTTTATGTCACCGACGAGATGTTAAAGCAGCAGGCTGATGAGGTGGCCCAAGCGGTCACGGCCTCTTACCGACCAGACGAGCTGACAGACAAGAGTGAAGCTGCCTCTTTGCCTCCCGAATTGCCTTCTCCTCAGGTTAGCCCAGCTCTGGTTCCTTGGATGTGCTCACGCCACTAGCAGATAACAGATAATCAGAGTTGGAAGGGACCTCGTAGGTGAAGAAGTCAAGAAGAGACCAAATAAGTTTAGGCTAAGTTTAAATAGTGGTAACCTTGGATAATGTTTGTCATGGCTTAGTGTGTCGAGCGGAGTCTATGCGATTGGTTTAAGCTTTAGCGCAGGGGTGTCCAACCCTGGCAACTTTAAAACTTGTGGACTTCGGCTCCCAGAATTCCATGCCAGCTGGGGAATTCTGGGAGAGGAAGTCCATAAGTCTTGAAGTTGCCAAGGTTGGACACCCCTGCTTTAAATGTGTTGTGGAAAACCAGCCAGGAACTCCCTTGTGGGAATGCAGCTATAGACAATACGCCAAAACTGTGGTTAATGAAATGCGTGTTCCTCCAAGATGGTTGGTAAGAGGGGTTGTTGGCCTAGTCCTGGCCAGATTTTGGAGACAGGCGCGGAAAATGAGGTGCCTTGGCTTCCTTTTTCTACTCACACTGTGTTCTGTTTTCAACCGCTAGTCCACTCGTACTAGAAGCACCAGCAGTGACAGCACTGAAGCCACCGACGCCAGCACCATCCAAATTGGCTCCAAATATTCCTCAAGCAAGATTGTGCATTTCGTGGAAGTGGGCAAGAGCAAGAAGCCGGAAGGCCACAAAAAGGGAAGTCCTCACCCCCTTTCCTTGGCCAGGCGCTGGGTGGGTGGTAGCATAGGCAAAGGAAGAGAAGTCAATGGCCCTTCAGTTCCACCAGCCCTTCCAAAACGGGAGCCAACGGGATGGCAGGGACCTTGGAGGTCTTCTAGTCCAACCCCCTGCTCAAACAGGAGACCCTAAATGGTTGTCCAACCTCTTCTGGAAAGCTTCCAGTGATGGGACGCCCACAACTTCTGAAGGCAACCCGTTTCCACGGGTTAATCAGTTTGTCAGGAAATTTCTCCTTCGTTCTAGGTTGGGCCTCTCTTTGTAAGCTTCCCCCCGTTGCTTCTTGCTCTGCCTTCAGGTGCTTTAGGGAATGGAGTTTGCAGAGTGGAGGAGGAGGAGGAGGAGGAGGAGAGGAGGAGGGGGGGAGGAGGAGGACAACAACTGTGGGGGCCCTTGGTGCTCTCTGAGCTTGGTTATTTTCTTGCAGACATTTCATTACCCAACTAGGTAACCTCATCAGTGTTAGGAGGACGTGGGGTTACGCTGAGCAACTGTCCCCAGTTCTGCACAGGGCAATTCAAAAGGAATGAATTGAGAGGAATCTGCATATCTATTTTTCTGGAGAGAAACATCACACTGTGTCCTTCTGTATCACTCCTTCTTTTCTGTGGTGCCATGCCAAATTTTGCTAACCCACCCTTCCCTTCCTTCCTTCCTTTTCCTTCCTTCCTTCCTTCCTTCCTTCCTTCCTTCCTTCCTTCCTTTTCCTTCATTCTTTCCTTCCTTCCTTCCCTTCC